TGAGGGCTCCCAGCGGGGCTCAGAGCCCAGACCGACCCTGCCGCCGCCGCGGCCTCGCTCGGCAGCGCAGCTCTCCACAGCCCTCAGGCCGCCATCGCCGCCCTCGTGTGTGGACCGCAAAATGACGGCCGCGGCCCCAACATCGGCTTCATTCCCGGGCACCGGTCCCGGCCCCATCGCCGGCCGCGGTCCCGGCGGCGGCGGAACCTTGTGGCGGCGGAACGCGCGGGCGCGGGGCGCGGTTTCCGTGCCGCGCCGGGCCGGCCCCGCCGCCATGGCCGCGGTGCCGGCGGAGCGGGAGAGGCCCCGGCGGCGGGAGGAGCGGGCCGGGGGCGCGAAGCGGCGGCGGGAGGAGCCCCCTCATGAACCACCGGAGGAGTCCCCGGAGAGGCCGGGAGACACCCCGCGGGAGTCCCCGGCCGAGCCCGGGTACCTGGCGCTGGCCCGCGGGCTGCTGGCCGGCGGCGCCCCGGCCCGCTGCAGCCCCGCGCCCGCCCGGCCCGCCGGGGAGCCCGCGGGGGATGGAGCCGGAGATGGGGACGATCTGCTGGGACAGCTGATCCGAGACCTGGTAGGGCTGCGCGGGGCTGGGGGCGGCCCTGGGGCTGTGCCGGGGACAGGCCGGGCCCAAAGCGGGGCAGGCGCTGGGTCTCGGTACCGGAGCACGGAGAGGGGCTCGGCTGAGGTAGCACTGGGAGCAAAGGAGACATTGAATTTGTGTTCCTGTGTGCTTGTTTATAACCTCAGCTTCTGAAAACACATCCTTTTATAAAGTGTTAACCCTGCAAAATCTTCTTGTCCTATGTAATGGCACAGGGTGGGATTGTTGGAGTGCCCTGTGCGGGCTAGGAGTTGGGCTCGATGATCCTTGAGGGTCAATAATATTTTTTTTCCTCTTAAGATTTTTGTTGTTTACTCTGGCAGTTTGATGCAGGTGTAGTAATTAAGGATATCCTGCCTTGTGACACAGCAGCATTGTAAGAAAACAAGTTTTAATTCTTTAAATAAAGGAGTTAATTTGGAAATACTCTTAAATACAGTTCTGGACCAGATAAAAGTTATTTTGGTAAATCCTCTAAATGCCATGAGATGTTATTTACAGTATAGGAAAACTAGGGGGAAACCGATTTTCTTATTTCTCGCTAACCTCACTATGACTAATTACTCTTTGCTTAAAAAAATTAAAAGGAACAGATTAAATTTCTGTCTGCAAGGCACAAATTAATCCATTTACAGAATTAGTGCTCCATTAGCACAAAGGAGCCCGAATCTGTCTCAGAGGGGCTGGTTGTATTTGAGTTTTGGACTCATTCCAGTAGACTTTTAGATGGACTGGTGCTGACTTAACATCCCTGCTTCCTTGTGCTGAGGACAAGCTGCGAGAATTTTTGGGGTATGGGAAGACCTGGATCTGCCCCTAATGTTAGGACTGCATTAGAATGGAACCAGTGTGGGTTTGTGCTGTGCCTTCGGAACCTCAGGCAGATCCCAAATCGGGATCATCCCCTTGGCACTTTCCTAACCCCCATCCCTTTGTTTCTTTGTAGGTCTCTTCTACAGCTACTCTTCATTTAAACTTGGATCACTTTGCAGCACCAAAGTAGAAAAAGAAGGCTCTTGTGGGTTTATTTGAAGCAGGGTATAAATCCTCTTGCAGCTCAGTTTATAAAAACCTGCATAGCTGTTTTTTGCTCTTTTCCCCTCCTTTCCTTGAGAGCACCGTTGGTGTTGAGCGTTGTGTCAGCACTGCTGTGTCTGCAGGCCCTCAGTGCTTGCAGTGAGACCTGTGTGTGCATCCAGCCAGCCCAGGATCTGCTGCTTGGACACGAGTCAAGTCCAATTTGGAAGGAACACATCCGTGGTGCTGCCGTGCCTGAGCTCATAAGCCCGCAGCTAACAATCCTTGCCCAACAGTTCCTGTGATTTGTTTGGGCAGCCTGTGGCTCCAGAGCGGTTCTGTGGCTGTTGGAGCTGGGCAGGATCACATCTGGCCAGCTCGGAGCCTGCCTGCATGTGGCCGTGGAGAGGTTCCCTTTGTGTTTTCCTTCGGTGTCCCTGCTGGACAGGATGGGATTTACAGCACACGAAAGCAAAACAGATCCTGCGGATCCGCAGCGGGGAGCGGAGCCAGCGGCCCCAGCGCAGGGCAGGGAAAGGAGCTGTTTGTGCGGGGAGATTGTGGATCTGGAGGGAGGGAGCAGCAAGGTTGGCTGCAAGTCCTGCTTTAAGTCACTTTAGAACAAGTGGGAGGTTCCAGTGTGAGTGAAATGATGTTTTATTGCTAAAAAAACCTGATGGGAACATTGCCCGTATTTGTGTTGTCTAAACACTTGCCTGGTGTAGAATATCTTCTGCTTTAAAAACCACACCACCACATTATATTGTGATTTCCCTGAGTAACTCTGATTTAAATAAACCCAGAATACCCCTTCTGTTCTATTTTGGTGCTGATACCCCTTCTCTTCTACTTTGGTGCTGCAGGTGGCCCAGATTTGAATGAGAAGCTGTAGGAGAGACCTGCAAAGAAACAAAGGTACCAGAGTTAGGGAAGTGCCAAGAGACAGGAGATGATCCTGCTTTGGGATGCCTGAGCTTCTGAAGGCAAACAGTGGAGATGGGTTTTAACTGAGCAGCTGATTTTGTTCATGAGGATTGATAGACAATGATCAGGAGCACCTGGAGGGGGACACAGACATCAGAGAAAACACTGGAGGGCAAAACTGGTAACATAGAAATGGTCAGAATCAGCTGATTTGACTCTTTCTTTATTACAGAGTATGAAAATTTTGAATATCCAGACAGGATAAGAGAGAAGATAAATCTTGCTGTGATTACTGCAAGATGTAATAATTATGAAATTAAACCAAACAAAATACATCTAGGAGAAATCTATGTGCTGCATTTAGATGTTAGCTTAAATTGAGGGATTTGGCTTCAAATTTTTTTTTAGATGTTCAATTAGTTAAAGGAGGGACATTTCATATTAAAAAGACATTTTTATGTTAGTAGTGAAAGAAATCAACATCATTTCCATTCAGTTTTATTTAAAATATTTGTTTATTTTTCCATCACATGGGATTGAAATCTTGCAAGTGAAAGTACTAATGGGTATATGTCTTCAAAGTGCTTATTTAATGGGTCTTTTTGTCACTTCAGCCAAACTATGTTACTAAAACTTGTTTATTTGCCTTTCTCTGCCCTTGGAAGGACCATGAAAGGGAGGAGAGGCAGAACTCCTGATGGAGCTGTGATGGCCCTGAGGACATCCCATTCCTTCTCCTGCTCTCAGACTGTGTTAAAGCAGCCTCACAAATGATATTCTCCTTTTTCCTTTCCAGAATGAAATCAATGAGGTTCCTTTCTTTGATGTGCAGCTGCCTTATGAGCTGGCACTGAAGATATTCCAGTACCTGGGTAAGGCTGAGCTGGGAAGGTGTGCTCAGGTAAGTGCTGCTGGCAGTTAAAGTGCTAATACCACTTAAAACTGGCAGAAAAAGTGAAAAACCAGGCACCTCGATGTAGACAAGTGGGGTGGTAGCCCAAGGAACTCGGCTGGTTGTGCTTTCACTTACAGGAGACAGTTCCAAAGCTGAATATTGAAAATGTAGTGGTACCTGAGCTGGATTTACAGCTGCACTTGAGCTGAGTTAGTTAGAACATCTGTGGCTTGGGCAGCAGCAAAGTCTTCACACTGAAAATAAATAGTGCAAAGATATTTTGACTCGAGTCAGTGTGTTTAGAAGCATTTTAGATTCAGGTGAGTGTCTTGCAGTGTTTAGAACTCAGCACTTGGCAGAGCTCAGGGCATGGCAAGAGCTGCTCCTCCCACTTTCCAGCATGGGATTGAACCACAGGCATTGGAGTAGTAACTTCTTGTCTGGAGTATTTCCACCTGAGGCCAAATTCTTGAATGACCCTGATTTCCTCCCCCCAGTCCTATAAGGGGTTTCTGTTTTTCTTTTCTGGTACTTTCAGGTAATGCTCTCAGCAGTCTGCACTCAGGCATGGTCTATAATTCAGGTGTAGTTGTAAACTGCCTGTCTCTTCCAGAACTTTCCTAGCTGAAACACTCACTCTCACCTCATTCTGCTTAGGGTTGTTCAGCCCACACTGTTGGGCCTCTTTATTTCTTTTCTTCACACACTGAATGAGGAACCTCCTCTCTGAATGAGTCTTCAAAGCAAACTTAATTGGCAAGTGCTGATTACTCTGTGAAATCAAGCAGAATATTGTGGGTATAATTCCAGCTTCTCCTATGGCCACTATTTAGGATTCCAGGCTGATGTTCATTAAATCCTATATGCAGAGCACATCTTGCAACTTCACAAAAATCCAAACAAAACCATTTTTTGTGTTACAAACAGTCTAGGGCATGGTTTGAGTGGAAGAGAAAAATGTTAATGTGTGAAAACTGAGAAGTGACGGACAGGGGCTGTTAAGGATGGTAAACTAAAGTCAAATATTCTGCAAATAGCCCAGGCTTTGAAAGGAAATTGGGCTTTTAATGTTCAGTATGAGTGTGTTGCAGTGTTAAATAGCTTCAAGTGGTTATTGCTTAAATCTTTGACTTGCTAATGCCTTTTAGGAGCAGGGACTGTTTAAAGAAAATTAATTCCTCATGCAGGGCTGCTTTTGCAGAGGGGAGAATTCTCTAGGATTGTTTTCTGACACTGTCCAGGACAGGAAGGCTTTCAGATATGCTCAAATTTCTGTCCCTTGGGGTACAGATATGCCATCAGTAAAGGCCACAGCCCATGACATGGAACAGGGTTGCATTTTTGAAGTGGATTAGTTTAAGGTTATCCTTTCACTCTCTCTTCCCCCCTCCTCAGGCATGATCAGTTTACCTTATGGCATAGTAAAAAGATTGGCTGCTGTAGGACTGCTCCTTTTCCCTGTGCTTGGGGCTGCACTGGATTTCTCTCCACTTTACTTTTAAGCTTGAACATGTTTTCATAAGATGTGTTTAACACAGACGATTTTCCACATTTCTCATTCTCCTCTTCCCAAGGCATTGTTCCTTTGTGGCAGCTGACAGGTAGCTGAGCAAGTGCCCAGTGTTTTACAGGGCTTCCCCAATCAGATGAATATCCAGTGCAGAGCTGGCTTCTTTTTAAGTGTTCAAATGAAAAGCAGAGCCATAAAAATAAATAGAATTTTCATTTTTCTCTTGGTGGTTTTGTTTCTGAAGGGGGGGAGCCCTCTTCTGTTCCATGGAAAACCCTGCTGCTTTATGGTGTTATCCTAGAAAGGTTTTTTTTATTAAGGTGCCTTGGGATTTCAGTGAAATTGGGCCAGTTGGTGGAATTGGCATCATGATCCATGTGAGTGCCTTTGGAGAAAACCTGTTTGCTTAGTTCTTTATGCCAAATTGGTAACCAGCTCACAGGAAAGGAGCCTGACTGCAGAGCCTCTCTGAGATTTAATCACACCACAGACTGTCTGGAGAACTTTAATTTCACCTTGATATTTCCCTCTCCCTCGCTTCCCCACAGCTTTTCTTTGATTTTTGGAATTAGTGCTGTAATCCACAACCTGTCTGTGTGGCACTGGAAATACAAAAGCCTGTAAATAATTGTCCTCAGTGCCTGAGCTCTGCTGGGTCTGCAGTAGGGGGGTGACATCCAGTAGCATCCACCAGACCAGTCCCTGCTGATATCCCACGTTTGGAATTCAGGGAGAAAAGTATCCAGGGTTTAATGTAGCGCAGAACAGGCCAGAGTAATGCAGAATTTTGCCCTGTGAGCACTTTTTAATTGTGTTCTGACCATTGGCAGAAATATCTGTGCCATGAGTGGCTCTCCTGTGGCTGTGAGCAGGTTTGGGAGCAGTCACTCCTTCCTCTTGGTCAGGCTGTAGAGGGAAAGGAGAAACAATCCCTTGGGACACTTGTGACAAACTGAAATGTCCTTGTGTGATTTGGGGCTGATACTGTAGATACATTAATTTTACCCATGGCCTGAGGACCTGGCATTTATGGTTCAGCTTGGTGATGAGGGGATGTGTTTGAATTCAGCAGCACTGAATTTTGGAAGTTTTGTTTCTGAGCAGATCAGTGGGAAATTCCCTTGACCTGTTAGGTTTTCTTCTTAGAGAAGGTTCAGAAGTGTTTACCAACACAGGAATTGTGTATGTATCTAGGGCAAGGGAGACTGTTTCTAGGAATTTAGGGATGAATTGTCGTGCATAAATCAAGAATTTCAGCTGCCTGCCTCCAGGGCTTCTGGGATTGTCAAACTGTTGAGGCTTTAATGTTTATACATTTACAAAAAGAAAATGGAATGTGGTTTTTGGAGCATGGGTTTGCATCAAGGTTGTTTATGGGTAAAAACCATCATCCATCCTCCTTGTGATTCCCAGAGAGAGCAGGGAAATGGAAGGATAAGGGTAAGGATATCCCTGACCTGGGCTGTGCCCCCAGCAGGGCACCAGGAAAGGAGGGGGGGATTCTGCCCCTCTGCCCTGCCCAGGTGAGACCCCACCTGCAGAGCTGCCCCCAACCCTGGGATCCCCAACATGAGAAGGACCTGGAGCTGCTGGAGTGAGACAGAGGAGGAGCTGCTCCCAGGGCTGGAGCCCCTCTGCTCTGGAGCCAGGCTGGGAGAGCTGGGGGTGCTCACCTGGAGAGGAGAAGGATCCAGGGAGAGCTCAGAGCCCCTTCCAGGGCCTAAAGGGGCTGCAGGAGAGCTGGAGAGGGACTGGGGACAAGGGATGGAGGGACAGGACACAGGGAATGGCTTCCACTGCCAGAGGGCAGGGCTGGATGGGATATTGGGCAGGAATTGTTCCCATTGTTCCTGGGAGGGTGGGGAGGGGCTGGGATGGAATTCTCAGAGCAGCTGTGGCTGCCCCTGGATCCCTGGAAGTGTCCAAGGCCAGACTGGACACTCCAGACAGTGGAAGATGTCCCTGCCCATGGCAGGGGGTGGCACTGGGTGGTCTTTAAGGTCCCTTCCAGCCCAAACCATTTTGTGCTCAGAGCTTTGGACAGAAAAGATGAGCAGCTTCCATCAGAATGGCTTTGGATTAAACACTTGGCACTATTTTTTGTACTGAGCTCAAAGTCCAGCTAGTTCTAATTGAGGCCCCTGGTCTCAGCAAATGAGCCTTGACTCTGCCTTTGTGTGTCTGGGGAAGAAAATAAACCTAGTGAAATAAAAACCATTATCAGATGCAGAGGGATGAATAAACCTTCATTAGGATTTGAGCCAGTTGATTTAGATGGGATTAGAAGAAATTTTGGATTTGATGGAAGAGGTGGAGTTTTTTTAGGGGGAAAAATATCCCCCAGAGGCAAAACCAAATAGCAAAGCCTATGTCAGCAAAAGCCTTTGAAGTCCTTCAGAACATTATTGCTTGCTGAACTATAAAATATAAAACTGTCCCTGTGTGGAGCTCAGGGGAACCCAAACTTTCTTTGCTGAGAACACTTGTAAAAAGATAATAGGAACACTGAAGACAAAATTAAATTCAAGACTCCAAATCTATAAACAAGTCTGTAAGATGCTGTCATTGATCCTTGCTGGAGTTTCTGTGCAGTTTAGATTTGGAAACAGTTTTAACAAGAGCTTTGCACATCTCAGCTCCTCTCCAGCACCCAGCTTTTGGGTGCATGTAAATAAAACCATAATGCCCTGGCTTTTGGGGCCTCACCTGAAACTCCAAGTCAAGCAGATCTAATAAAGCTGACTTGAAGCCAATGGCTGGTTTTAATGCTGCAGCTCACAGTGGTGCTGTAAAGTGAAATGCTTGAGACTCTTTATTAGTGATTTCGTGCAGCTGAGCCTCGCTCAGTGGGGTTTTACAAGGGATTGGCATGCGAGTGTGGGGCTGGAAGAAAAGGCTGGGTTAGGGACCCTTTGGAAATTCAGGCTTGTAAAGCAGCAGGGTTTGCTGTAATTTGATTGAAAAAAAATCAGGGTAGGATAGGATCTTTATTCCCCCTGAAAGTTGAAAAGGCAGTCGAAATTTTATGTAGCTCCCCCCCACCCTTTTCTTTTGTTTTACTGTCTGTATAAAATGCTTTTAAGACCTTGAAACTTGAAAGGTCTGTGCAATATTGTCTGTTTTGGCAGACTGAAAGGTGTGTGTTTATTTTTGATTTTTCTTTTGGAAAGCAAGGCAAAAGCTGGCCTGGTTTGGCTGTGCTTCCCCGTGCGTGTTCTCAGGCTGTCCCTGTCAGGAGAATGTGCTGCTGTTTGGGGAGGGGACAGAGGTTCTGCCTGGGGAGCTCCACTCCTGCACCACAGCTGCTCTTTTGGTGTGTCAGCAGAAAGCTACTTTGGGGCTTTTTTTTTTTTGTATTATTGGAGCAATAACACAGATATTTATCCTACTTTCAAATCAAATTGAGAGCAAATTCCTAATGGTTTGGATTTGGGATTGCTTCTTTTTGGTGCTTTTGAAGTTGCTGAGTGTGTCCCTCTAGGGACAGGAGCACTCAGCACTCGGATTCCAGGGTGATGTGTGTTGCTGGAGAAGCCTCAGTGCTGGTTCTGTCACTTCAGGGCATTATTCTTGCCCTGTGCAGGTTATTTCTTTTGTCAGAGGATGGAAGGGGGTTGTCTACCTCTGCCACTTTGCACTGAGGTGTCTGGCTGATTAAGAACATTCATTTTGCTGCATTTAGATATTCCTATTTGAGCACTCCTCTTCTGTGCAGGTCTTAAATCTTAAAAACACTTGCAGGTTACTCAGATCACCCCTTCTTTCATCATATTAAACATTTTTTATGTGTGTGACTATGGAAAAAATGGCAAATGAATATAAAGAGATGGTCCTGGGAGAGTTTGTGTCCATGGGAGGCTTGTATTCTTGGCATAATCTGGGGACTGAAATGAACATTAGATGCTTAATTGTAACTTACTAAAAATGATGTCAGTCTCAGAAGGTGCTTTTAATCTCTTTAGAAACAGAGCACAATTGATTGCTGCTTTCACCAGTCGTGGCTTTCATTGGTTACGTCTGTTTTTTTAAATTAAGAATTACAGAGGAAAAAAAAAAGCTACTTAAGTTGGCTCCTAGCTCTTGAATCTTTAATTCTGAGCCCACAATTGATTGTGATGAAGCTGTTCTCTCTGGAATGGGCAGCAACTTGAGGCTGCTTGAAAAACTTAATAATTCATTCCTATTTATGCATACTGTAATACAATAGGTTATAAATCACTAATGTCATACCCCTAATCAGGCGTTGTCAGTGGGACTTCAGAGATGTGGTGCTGTGATCTGAGAGGGTTTCTGAGCTACAAACGTGAAAATAAATTCATATTTTTGCTCTAAGATCACAATTCTCTCTTAATTGTTTTCTTGCTGCTTTTCCTGTCAAAAGTTTCCAGTCACTGATATTTCAGGTTGACAGTGTGACCACTAAACTGGTGTGCACGTTATGTGGAGTTTTATTGGAGTATAAAGTCAGTTATTTCCTGCAGAACCCACAGAAAACAAGCCTTTTGTTAAAGGTCTGGGGTTTTTATACACTCAGGTGTATAAATAGTGAACAAATATATTTGTTTAAGTAAGACTTTCATCTTTGTACAGGCCTGTATTAATTGATACGTTTATATTTCCTTATTTATGAATAGAAATATTTCATATTTTATATGAAATCTAATGTTTCCTTATACATTTCTGAGAGATCCATACCTAAACATTGATTTGTAGGTCAGCAGGACGTGGAAAATCCTTGCAGAAGATGAAGTGTTGTGGTACAGGCTGTGCCAGCAGGAGGGATACCTGTTGGACACGAGCATCTCTGACCATTCCTGCTGGAAACTTGCCCTCAAAAACTGCAGAGCCAGAGAGCACATGCTGAAAACCAACTGGAAGGTGAGAGGGAATTTCCTTACAGGGATCCAGGTGCTGGGGAAAAATGGGAACCTGGCTCGAGCAAGTGGGAGAGGAGAGTTGATGTTGTGTTTTGCAGCTTCTCTTTTCCAGTTGACAGCTGCTGGGGGGATTTTGGGGTAGATGTGTCTTCTCTCAGCAGCATTAGCAAAGCTGGGAGTTGGGCAGCAGCAGATTTTGGTGGATGAAGGAATGGATGAACCGGGATGAACCCCTGTGTCCTCTCTGCAGAACCGCGTGGGTGCCGTGAGCCAACTGCGCTACGAGCCCGGCCGGGTCCTGTGTGCCGTGAGCTGCTGCGACGGCGTGGTCATGGCTGGGTGAGCACCGGGCTGGGCAGGGCCCACACTTCTCCTGTGCAGGGTGTAAGGTTCACCCCATCTCCTGTGCA